AAATAGAATAAAAAATTTACAAAGCATCATTACATTAAAATTATATAAAATATAAAAAAAATAAAATATAATTTTTAAAAAATATATCTTATCGTTTCAAACATAAAAAATATAAAATAAAATAAATCATTAAAACTTCATTTAAAATATATTATTTAAATTAAAGATCTGGGAAGCCATAATCTCAATATATTTTTTTTAAAACAAATATATAAATTATAGAAAAATCAACTTGCATATACGTAGTACTTTCTTTATTTAATTAAAATTCCAAGTTTTTTAAGCATAATCCTTTAATAAAATTAATATCGAAAACAAAAACAATAATTAATTCTTATATAAAGGATATAAAATAATGTAAGAAAATAAATGCATTATTGTAGAGATTGTAGAGATTTTTACGAAATGTCCCTAAAAGATAGCCACATGGACCGCATGGCTGTCCTAACCTTAAAACATAACCTCATTCGAGTATTTAAGTTATACGTAAAAATCTAATGACGTAAAAAAAACATAAATATATAAAATGAATAAAATAGATATATGATAACATATATAAGAATTAAAAGAAATTAAAGATATAATTTGTACTCACCAGCATTTGGTACAAAACGCGGTGTATTAGTCGTAACCACAGTGTTGTAAGTTTGAGACGAATGAACACTTGGTTGATTGACGTTCACTATGAGTTGAGGTTGATGTTGTGGCGGATTATGATGTGGCTGTGAATGATGTTGATGATGTTGGGGCAGGTGGTGATGTTTCCCTTTCGTTGGCATGCTCATCGCAGGCGTAGGCCTCCCTTCTTTAAACTCTCCACTACCTTCAAAGCTTGTTGCCTTATGTGGCTCGCTGAGGTCCTCATAGGTACGTTATTTTCACACGCACGTAGTTAACCGTAATGTTTGTCGAAAGACTTCTTGTCCAAGCAAACTTTGCTGAAAAATTCGACGTACGTGAAACGATGGTTAGCGTTCGGTCACCCGTACGGAACTGGTAGCACATTTACACGCGCGCGCACTTCAACTACGGTCAATTCATACGTAAAACTATATGTTCACTTTTTCCATACTTCTGTTTTTATTGAAATAACAGTTTTCGTTTGTACTCATCAATAAATTACACACTTTTTCTGCACAACGTCTTTGTCCGTTGGTTCGTTCGATCAAAAGTGTTTACGCTCTTATTACTTTTCCAAGATTTGCGCGCGGTTGGAATATTCAACTGCGCACGATCACTTATTTCTTCTTGAAATACTAATAAACTATTATCACCAATAATCGTACCTAGATCGTTCTACCTGCCTAAAATGTCGCGTAAATTGTTTGACAAATAGTAAATGACTTGTTTTCTTGTAAGAAAAAAGAAGCGACGCGCACCATACATTGAGCACAACCACAGCACGCCTTTCTTTCCATTTCCTCTTATCTACCGTTCTTTAATGGTAATATACAAGAATCTTAACTTGTTACACATTCGATATAAAGATAATTCAAAACAAATTAAAAAATCGTCGATAATCGATATTTGTTAAGTTATTTAATTATAAATTAGAATTACATGCGCATTAATTAATTTGTCCAAAAGATATTATTTTTTCGAAACGACACAAACGGATTTGTGGTAACATAGTGAAACAAAATTCTACAGCAACCAATCAAATGTCTGGCATAAACTATGTAGGGAATATAGAGTCAATCAGGTAACTATTTGATTGACTGTTAGCCACACTGACGGTTATACAGATATTGGATAGTTAATAATATATAAATCAGTAAAAAATACTTACAATAATGGATTTTAAATCATTCCTATATATTATAACATTTTACAACTATTATTTATATGCAAATTATATTACAATTATTATTTATTATTTTATGAATAAAAATAATTTTAAGAATAAGTTTATTAATCAATTAATTTTATATTTTTTAATAGAAAATATTTTATTTAATCGTAAAAAGAAATAAATTATTGCATATAATTATATTGAAAACATAACATTTAATATATTAATTATTATTAATATATTAATATTAATAATAATTATAATATATAATAATATAATAATAATAATAATAATATATTAATATATTAATATTAACATTTAAATTAGTTAAATATTTTTCCACGTAAATTCATAATTAAAAAATATACAATAGAACAAACATAAATATATATTTATTTTTATACATATTTTTATAAATAATTATATGATAAGTATATATATATATAATATAATATAATATAAGTATATTTGTATAATAATACAATACAATAATTAATACAAACAGAATTATTAAGTATTTACGTAAGATTGTATATTTTATCTATTACATATGCACATATGCATGTGCATTTGCTACTTTTATATGTGTTATTCATATCTAAAATTGATGATTTGTTGAAATATTATATTTTTGTTGCTTGATATTGTTTTAGCAGAATGAAATTGCATATAAAAATCACAATTATATTTATATCTTTAAAATTAAAAAATAAATAGATTATTAATTGGAAGAAAATATAAATATATTAAACCAGTGGGAATATATATGTGGTAAAAATATATAAGTATAAAATAATACAAAAGATTTTAAATACACAGCAAATAAATATACAGCAAAGTAACAAGTAATATTAAAAAATTAATTCTAATCGTGATTTCACTCGTAAAATTCAACCGATTATAATAATTTTTATTTTTTATTTCAAATTTATTTAATTATTATTGTTTTTACATTTAAAAATGGGTTCTCACGGTAAATTAGAAACTGAAAAATTAAAAAAAAATTTAGAGGCACAATTGGATAGATTAGTACAGCAATTAGAAGATATAGAAGAAAATCGGTATATTTGATAAATTATTCAAATTGTTAATTTAATAATTTTAAAAATAATATTTTTTTTTATAACATTATTGCAATTAATAGGAATTTATTAGATGCAGCTGCATATGAAGAAGCTATGCAGCTCACAAAAGAAGATTTACAAGAATTCAATGAAAGTTTGCAACGATTGATATCTGGTGATACAACATTAATTGATCAACTAAGTGCAATACAATTGGTATGTTATAAAAATTTATATATTTAAATTAAAAAAAATATTCATCTAAAAATATTTATTATAAAATATAAGAAAAATTATAAATATATACTAAAAATTTTAATTAGGCTATTCAAGCAGCAATTAGTGAAGCATTTAAAACACCAGCTGTTATTAGAATGTTTGGGAAACGTGAAACATCACAACTTAGAAATCGCTTAGCTCAAATTGAATATGATATGAAACTTGGAAAAATAACTAAAGAAGTTTGTGATCTTCAGCGTGCAGAGGTACTAAATGCACTTAGACAACTTGGTGAAAAATTAGAACTTCAAGAATTACAGTTATTGGAAAAATTAATGCTTAATAATATTGATACTACAAATTATGTGCAAGTAACTGAAAATGTAAATAAAGGTCGAATAGCCATGGCAGTAGTAAGTGATGAGGCTAGAATTCAAAATACTTAAATCTTAGGATATTTTTTTTTTCTTAACATTAATTTTTAATTTTTTATAAACAAATGATATTTTATATAAATAAAAAATTAAATATAAAAAGATTGATACATTAAAATTAAGTACTTTAATAAATTTAAATTATTATTCATGAAATACAATGTTTAAATAATATTAGTAGTTAATAAAAATAAAAGATACATCAATATATATTTTTAATTTTTGCTATTTAATATTTTTTATTATAAATAAAATTATTTTTAAAGTAACAAATTTATATTATTTGTTATTTTAATTGTTTAATATTTATCTTCATTTCTATTATTAATCTTGATTAAATTTGCCTATTTTACTTAAATTATAACACATAAGACTGAAGATTGAAAATATTGTTATTAATATTCAAAATAAATAGAATATGAAATGTATTATAAATAATTATAAATAATCTTCTTTTTAATGTATTTTTTACATTTTAAATTATATATGTATTTATTTTTAGTTATATCATTGTAATATTAGCATCTCTTATCTATTTTAATATATAAAATATGTTTATTTCATTGTCATGTAAATTATATGATATCATATAAATTATATGTATATGAGAATAAAGAGACATGTATGTATTTATATATATAATATTTCAGATCGTATCATTATTAATATGTATACATACATATGTTTTACAAAAATATTATGAATAGAATATTAAAAAACATTTATTTATAACATTAAAACAATATTACATATTTCATTAATGTATTTAATGAATTTATTTTTGTATTAATAAATTTGTTTTTAATTATAAGAACTTTTTATTAACATCTTAAAGATTTTAGATTAATAATATTTTTAGTTTTATCATTTTAATAAATAATTAAAATAAAATACCTTTTTATTATCCAAAAATTGAGTTTGAAAACAAATATACATATATAATAATATCGCTTATTATCTTTTTACATTTTTACTTATAATTATAATTAATAATTACAAATCAAAGGATTTACATTTGTTTGCATACATATTACAAATGCCTTCATTCAGAAAGCTTACATCAAGGCATGTCAAATTAGTGTCAAGAATATATTAATATGCTTCTACAAAGTATCCTCTTTTTTCAAATACAATAATTTTAATTTTTTTCTTATAAATTTAATATTACCATATTTATTATATTCATTATTAATTTAACGCTTTCGACGGCAAACTCTTTTATGTTCACGTTGCCAGTGGACTTGTTGACAATCAGTACTGCAATATGCAGTATTCCAACAGCAATGATATATTGCTTCAGCTTCACAATTATAACACTAAAAATAATATAATATAGATATTAATTAAAATATATAAAGAAAATATAGATTGCATGTATAAATAAAACTATTAAAGAATTATTACCCATTGTTTCTTCTTTATTTCTGATATAATTTGTTGATGTCTATCTGTTAGTTGTCGTAATTCTTTAGCATGTTCAGCTTGTAATTTTTCTAATTCTTTACATTTCTCCAATTCCAATTCACGACGTAATTTTTCTAATGCTGTTGTAGTAGGTTGTTCTGACGTTCTGCGTTCTCTTTTTATCTACAATACATAACATTATAAAATTGAAATTATAAAAGTAGGAATTAATAATTATTAAATATTATACCTTTGCTGGTAATTTTTCTGTTTGTATTTGTTCTGTTTGTACAAAAACACACTTGGTTCTTGGTTCTTGAGAGCTAGAAGTGACCATATCTTCTTGAGAACCTTCTTTCTTCAAACCTTGAGGACATGTACTGGATATTTCTCTTGCAGGTTCTTCTTCTGCTACTGGCAAACAAGGTACTTGTCTTTCTTCACTTTTAGCTTTATTTTTTGAAGAACGTTCATTATGTTCGATTCCCTTTTGGTTTGACGGTATATCATTGTGACCATCCGAACTGAGACGTTCTACTTTAACTCTTAAATCCTTAAAAAGTTGTTTCGTAGGATTTCCCGTTGTATTTTTTGAACCTGATGACTCTATATTTCGGATTTTGTTCGGTTTAGGACCCTCATTATCGTCGTCGATGTCCAATTCTTCGATGGTTGTGCCCGACTTTTGCAGCAAATTCTGATGATGCTTCAGTTCATCAAATGCTCTGTTCCAAGCAGTGGATCTTTTTATCTATGGAAGGTAAATTGTGCACGTTTTAAGAAAAGTTGATTTTCTTCCAATTGCACAATGAAACAGAGTGGTGAGAAATTAGTTGTACACTTTAGGCCACAGTTTATGTGCATACCTTCATTTCTTTCCATTTTCCTTTTTCCGAAGGCTATGCAAGAATTCGTTGTTAAGATAATAATATACCTAAGTGCAACAACAATTTCTAAATTTCTTTTTCTCTCAAGAGTTCTCTTCTATTGTGTCAGTGATACAATACATTGTAAATGGCGTGTAACCTAAACCGAGAATTTCACAGTGTTCGCGTGACAATTTCGCGTTGAACGCCGGATAATTTTGTGACTTATCTTTACCTGTAAACTTTGTAGACTGGTAGTAATCGGCCGAATGAACATTTTTTCGATGTTGGCTCGCATGTGATGACCTCCAAAAAAGCGGACGTCATAAATGTTGCCATTAACTTGCATCACTTTAGCTGGCCAGTAGGGATATCCTTTTTGTTTTGCATAAACTAACTGATGTGGTGGATTACAAGGTATGCAAAACCACAGTTTCTCTGATTTTTCATTCGATATTCTATAGCAGTCAGCACAACGACGAATTTCTTGAAGATCATAACAGCAATCTTGATACATTGTATGACCCATTTCTCCAATTATGCTATGTGCTAAATAAATGTTTGAATTAAAATTATAAATTATAATTAAATTTTTAAATTAAAAATAATTTATATTTGTTGTGTATATGTATGCGCGTGTACATGTGTATACGTACTTCCATGATATATAATAATATTGTGTAAAATATTATGTGCATCAGCTTGAAACTCAGCCAAATTATTATATTCATTCTTCTTAATTTTTGTATCCATAATAGCTAAATCCATATGGTGTTTTATAAGAACACCTGGTCGCCATGCATCTTCCCCTTCACTAATCCAAGTTGTACCTGAATATCTATTAGCTGGTGTAACAATAGGATCATTGTTAAAAACAATAGTACGGTTTGTAATTTCTGGTGGCAATTTTGCTTTCAAATGTCCACAAGTAAAACTTAAAATATGGTTGAGATCAATTTTATCTGAGTATGTATCATTATTTATGCTCTGTAACAATTATTTTTATATTTTATCAATATATATATAATTTTAAATTTCATTTTTGAATTCAATGTACTTACTTCACAGAAATTACATATTTTCAATTTAACATTACTAAGCATATGGCATTCAGGATGATAAACTCTGTGACATTGTTGACAACATTCCACTGTTCCTGCTTTCTGACATTTATAACAGTACCAATCGTGACCATCATTAGGTATAATATCAGATGGTAATCTATAACTTTCTTGTTCTATACCATTTTTTGTTGGTACTTTTTTTAAATAAACAAGTCCATCATCAACAGCTTTATTTAATTCTTCTTGTGCCTCTTGTTCTGTAATTCCATAAACTCGAGCTAAATGCCGTACCATACGATCATTACTTGGTAAACTTCTTTGATGTACAGTTATTTTGATAGCATCCCATATTCGTTGTATCATAAAAGGATCAGTTTTACGACGAATTGACATGATGATAAGTAAATACTAAAACAAATATCAAAAGAATATCAATCTTGTATATGTTTTTTAAGAAATTAATAACTTTAAATAATAATAAAAAAATATTTTGTCAAAACATATTATTTTAAATTATTTTATTAAAACTTTATATAAATATAATTTATATAAAAAATAGAAATAAAATATCAATACCAATATTTGTTATTATATAAATAATCAATATACCCTCATATGTACAATACTTATCATATCTAAAATATAACAGTTGTTGAGATAGCCTCATGTTTAACATACTATATATTAACATAAAATACCATGCTTCTCTATTCAACAACATTTCTAAATAGTATTTTTTTGAATTGAACAAAATATACAAGTAAATAATTTTTAAAATAATTTTAGTGCATATAATATAACACAAGTGCATGTTAAATCATAAAAAATTTATGCATACATAAGATGTATTATATAATACTTAATATATCTACATACATGTTATTATTATCCAGTGTTTTTACTATAATAATTTTATTAAAAAGACAATTTAAAGAATGGAGAAATACACCATTATATATTTTGTCGGTATCTGATGTATTATTTTCTATATTTACATCAAGTATATTATTTACAAATTTTATGATACATGTTACTTATTTGAATCACAATAAAGTGATAAATAAAATTTTTCCAATAAATGAAAGTACATGGAATATAAAAGATGCTAATTTAAATCAACAAATTAAATTTAAAAGATTTATGGAATATACTATTAATATAAATCAAAACAACTTTAATATGATTCCACAGTGTAATATAATAAACATAATAATAAAATATGGAATGTTATTCTTTCCATTTACAAATTCATTTGTATCTTTGTTAATATTTTCTGTACAATGCAACTTAAATGCATTTCATCTTAAAAATCAATATTTTAAATTGCTACAAACTGAAGAAATGATATATAAAAAAAATATTAATATAAATAAATTTAACACAAAAATAAAATTTGATTCTATAGTGGAGATAGTGAAATCCAAAAGAGTTTCAGGAATCAAAAAAAATATAAAAAACATTTTACATATATTCAAATGTAATAAAATGAAAAAAGATAAAAAATTTACTGTCATATTTATCTTAAATCAATGGATTTTGCCTATTATTGTTACAGGACTTTTATATTTGTCTGAATATGATACAAATCCTACAAATGACATGGAAAATAAAAAATGTTTTAGTGAAAATATACTTTTTCTTGATGATTGTTATAATATAAAATTTACAAATATGCCACAGAATGTTAATTTTGAAATATATACAACTCCACTATATGAAGATTATATTAATAATAAAGATTTAGTGAAAACTTCTAATATTACTCAAGTAAATGAGATAATATCCAAAGTACAAAATCTTGTTTT